TGTGTGTGTGTGTGTGTGTGTGTGTGTGTGTGAGAGAGAGAGAGAGAGAGAGAGAGAGAGAGAGAGAGAGAGAGAGAGAATGTATGTCATACATGTCGTACAGAGGAGGTCAGAAGAGCATCAGATCCCCTGGAGTTACAGTTATGGCGGCGAGCTGCCCTGTGGGTCCTTTGGAAGAGCAGAAGGACTTCTAAGCTCTGAGCCTTGCCTCCCACCCCGCCATCTTTTTAATACGGAACAAAGTCTTCGCGCATAGTAATGGTTGTAACATCAATGAGTTATTTGTATCCTTAACTCGTCCCTTCACCAGCTCCACGAATAGCAGTGACTAACCCTGATACTTAGAGCACTGTGCCAGGCCCCAATCAAACACTTCAGGCACTCATACATTCCATTAACGTCGGTGGTGCAGGTGGTTAAGCGGTTTGTCCAGGGACACGCTGTGTGTGCCTCTGCAAACTCCAGGCCTGGCAGAGCACCGATCACATTCAGCAAAAAGGAAATCTGGGTCACCACGACTTTGGGTTCAAATCCAAGGATAGATAGCTCACTCCCAGGCTGTTTCTCCCTGACAATGACATGAAAATAGGATCCATAAAAATAAGAAGCTAAACGACCACTCACATGTAGGATCGTTTTCCCCATTCTCCTGAATCACCTCACTCACAGCTTGAAAGTGCTCGGAAGCCCCGAGCAACAGGCTCCAGGTCTCTGCTTCTCCTTCCTCTGCAGTGGCTCAGAAAGACAACGCTGTGACCTGTGAGGTGAGGGGACCCACCTCCCCCAAGATGAAGCTGACCCTGAAGCTGGAGAATCAGGACAAGGTCTCCGGGCAGGAGAAGGTGGTTGAAATGAAGGACCCTGAGGCAGGCCAGTGGCTGTGTGAACTGAATGAAGGGGATGAACTCAAGATAAGCTCCAAAATCCAGGGTAAGAAGTCACATTCCTAGGCCTCACTCTAAGCCTTGGCCTCTTCAACTGTGAAATCTTCCTGGGGATTAGCCAAGATGACCCAGAGTCCCAGGTCCCAGCTCCTCTGACATGGAGGGTTATGTACAGTGGCCTGAAGACAGAGGTCCTGAGTTCCAGGTTCCCACTTGCACAGATAGAGCCTAGGAATGAGGCCTTCCCCTGGCTAAGAGCTGCCCTCCTCCATGGCTTCCCTCTAAACCTAAACAAACACACAGGCCCTGACTTCAGGCCCCTGACTTCTAGCTCTCTAGAGAACTGCGTAAGAAAAAAAAAACAAAAAACTTCCTTCCCTGTTCTGTACTCCCAAGGAAGGCCTAGTGGCCTTTGAGAATCTGGGGCCACAGGTAAGACTGTCCCTAGATGGAGGCATTGAGTATCTCTTTCTTGACCGTGCTTGGGATGGAACCCAGGGCTCCCTCTACCAGAGCTACATCTCCAGCCAAATACACCCCCACCCCCCACCCTGTGCTTCTCTCTCTCTCTCAGTTTCATCCAGAGGGCTGAAGCAGGACCAGCCAACGTTCCTGGCTCTCGTGCTGGGGGGCATCTTCAGCTTTCTGACCTTCATTGGACTCTGCATCCTCTGCTGTGTCAGGTGCAGGCACCAGCAGGTAAGTGGGATCCCATCACCCCCCCCCCCCCGGGCCCCCAAGCACAGTATCTTGTATGTGAGGCTGAGCACCCTGCCACTGGCTGGGTCTGACTTAGCTCTCCCTGCCTAGCCCCTGAAGTTCCTCACTGCAGACCAGGCCCTGCCTCTGACAGGACAGGTAGCTTAAGCCACAGTGAATGCTTCTTCTCTGCCAGCTCCCCCCTCTCCCCCCTCCGAGGGGCACCTCCCTCCTGGAGGACTGGGACCCTCACAACTCCTCTCCTTGTCCCTGGGCAGCGCCAGGCAGAACGGATGTCTCAGATCAAGAGGCTCCTGAGTGAGAAGAAGACTTGCCAGTGTCCCCAGTAAGGATCTGGGCTGAGAGGAGGGAGGGAGGGAGGGAGAGGGAGGAGGGGGAGAGGAGGGGGAGAGAGGAGAAGGGGGGAGAGAGGAGGAGGGAGAGAGGAGGGGGGAGAGAGGGAGAAAGGGAAGGAAGGAAACCGGTGAAGGAGTTGAAAAGGAAGGGAAGGAGCGAGGAGATGGGGTGGTGGAGAGAGAGTGGATAACAGACCCGGGCAAAGGGCTGGCAGAGGCGGAGTGGACCTGTGGTGTGTCTGGACAGATGCTGCAGCGATGACCGATGTCCATCGGTACCCCTGTGCTGCCAGAGAAAAGTGGACTCTGGGAGCCATGGAAGCCGCAGCACCCCGAGAGGCTGGGAGGGTGGGTTTGCTCCTCTTATTCCTCTTTCTTCCAGCCGGATGCAGAAGACTCAGAATCTCATCTGAGGCCTAGGCCCCACCGGCAGCCGACCAACTGTGCCTTGCCCTGTCTGCTGAGGCCTGTGGACCAGATGAATGTAGCAGACGCAGTGCCTCCAGCCTCCGGCCTCCTCTTCCGTAACTGGCCACTGTTTCTCCCCCTCTATTCCCAAGCTCAAAGTAAGCTTGCTCTCTACTTTCCAGACGATTGAACACACTGTTCATCTTTCCCAGCTTCCTTTTCACAAAGACCTCAGCCCTTCTCTGATTCTTGTTCAGAGCCTCTTTCCGGCTGTCTGTTTGGATCTAAGGGCAGTGAACAGAATCAGCCGGGCATAGATGGTGGACTGGTATATAGAAACACACAGCACACTTTCCAAGACAGGGCCCTGGGACTGAACTGAGTGGAGGCTTGTGGAGATCGCACAGCCTTTCGGGGACAGATGTGGACCCCAAACTGCTGACATCAGCCTCAGCTTCCCATGCTGCCTGCTCCTCACTTTGTGTTGGCAAGATTGGGCTCACATTCTGGCTAGTATACCAACACACACGCAGGCCACATGCCCCTACACATAGCCACACACTTATCCATAGTTAATGTATCAGCCAGCTTAATGTCCTTGGTATTTAACCCTTTCAAAAACCTTACATGTAGGCAAGTAAAATGATTCAGCAGTAAAAGCTCTTGCTGCCAAACCCAAGGACCTGAGTTCGATCCCTGAGGATGGAAGGAGAGAACTGACTCTCAAAAGTTGTCTTCTACTCATGTGCCGTGGCCCTTATGTACAAACACACACACACACACACACACACACACACACACACACACACACACTCACTCTGAAATCCTACAAGCTGACAGTGATGACCAAGATGGCAGAAATGACCAAGCATCTCCGATGAAATGGAACTAAGGTTCAATGACTACCCCAGGTTACACAGGTAACTAGTGTGGGTGTCAGGACTAACCCAGGGCTCCTGATTGCTAGAGCCACTATCTGTAACACAGGGGTGAAGGGCAGGGAGGTCTCTGGAGCCAGTCACAGGCAGGTACCTTGGAAGCACAGCACCCACAAGATGGCCTGTCTCGAGATCGCAAGAGGAATGAGGAGCAATTCTTGTTTGAATCCCTCCCTGACCACTGCTGTCTGTGGATTCCTTTACTGGAGGACAAAGCCCCAGTTCACTTAGAGCAAGGCCAAGAGAACTCACCGTGCAGAGACCTGCCACTCACTGCATGCAGAGCCCGGACAGTGAGCTATGTTGAGGGGGGGGGGGTCCTTTGTCCTTTGATGAGATCCTCAGCCCTTGCCACGCATCCAGGGAGACCAGGGTTATAGTATTCTCCTGCCAGGCTTGATTTGTTTCTCTCAGATTCTCAGCTTTCTAGGCCTCTTTCATTCTCCTGCCTCAGCACCTGCCTTTTTCCTCCCAACCCAGTTCTTTCCTTTCCTGGTGGCCTCTTCCAGAAAGACCCACCCTGCCCTGCCCCTCAGTTGTGCCCGGCTCCTCATTGATTACTTTTTATTCCCATCCCTGACTCCTGCTTCCTCAGCTGACAGAAAAATAAAGACTATAAGTAAAATGCACTTCGTGTGTGTGTGTGTGTGTGTGTGTGTGTGTGTGTGTGTGTGTGTGTGTGTGAGAGAGAGAGAGGGGGGGGGGGCGGGGGGGCATGTACTTCTCTGGGGACCCAGGAGTCTTTGGGGCTTTAGCTGCTAGGCCTGGCCCAGGAAGAAGATGAAATCGCCCAGAGAAGAAAAAATTCCCTAGAGGTTGATTTCCCACCTTCTCATCCCAAAAGCACGGGTGTGTGACTCTGTAGTTAGCCTAGAGATTATGGGGTTATGTGTGCCTTCCTGCCGTCTGTGTATGGGAGAGGAAAGGGACTATGAGGAACTGTAATGTGTGTGGCGATTGTGTGTCCCCCCCACCGTAAGTGTGCGCTTGTGTTCTGGGAGGAGAAAGAGGTGTACACAGGTGTGCCAAGAGCCCACATCCTTTTTGATCCGTGCACCCACCTCCAACTTCACCAGCGGTCTCAGCCCGCATCACAAGCACCCTCAGCTTCCAGCAGGCCTTCGGGTGCCCCTCTGAGCTCTACCCAAGAAGAGCCCTCCCAAGATGCACACAGTGACACACGGGGACAGGCTTCCTCCTCCCCTGACAGCTAGCTCCTCAGTCCCTAACAACACCAGCTGCCTCTTCGGGCTCATTCGTGTTGAAAAAACGGGACGGGGTGGGGGCAGGACACCAAGCGCTTCACCAATGAAGCCCGCTCCCCGCCGTCCTCCTCGCCCCCTCCTTCTCCGCTCCTTCCTTGCCCCTCCCCCGCTAAGTCCCCGCGGTCCAGTTTCCCCGCCCCACCCTCGCCACCCCCGACCCCAAGACCGGCCAGCGGCTCCCTAACCCCGGGCTCGCAGGCGGATGACCCCGGGAGGCGGGAGCCTCGAGGGGCCGCAGACCAGCGCGCCGCGGGCTGAGCTGGGGAGGCCCGGCTGCGGAGGGGGAGGAGGCCTGGAGGGAGGGAGCGAACGAAGGAGGAGGGCTGGCGAGCTGGAGCCGGCAGGCGGCGGGAGCCCGGGCGAGCCTCGTCGGGAGTGCGTCTCCCCGGCAGAGCGGAGCGCGGCCGGAGGTAAGAGGACCCCTGCCCCGTCCCCCGCGTGTCTCGGCTCCCCCCCACCCCGCCCAGCCAGCTGCCTCCGCTCCCCTCTTCCCCGCCCCCTCCTCCCCAGCCACCTGCTGTTTCTGCCCCGGAGAGCACCCTAGGTGACAGGAGGGAGGAGCCACCTGACCTTACCCGATCAAGGCGAAGGGCGAGGGACCCCTGTCGGCCAGGAAGCCCCCACTAGTCCTCCTCCCTTCCCTTCTCCCCCTCTGTCCTTCATCTCCTTCTCACTGTCCTTCACGTCTTTCTTCTTCCCTCCCTTTCTGACTCTCCCTCTCTCTTTCTTTCGGAGCCGCCAACTGGGTCTGGGGGTGGAGGTGGGGGTGAGGGTGGGTGGGAAGGGGTCCAAAGGCTGTAGGGGAGGGCAGTGGGGGGCATTCGGACCAATTCCCTACACCTCCCCCTGGCTGTCCATTGCCATGGCAACTAGGATGTACTGGGCTAGGGGGGGAGACGAAGGTGGGGGCTGGACTGGGACCTCTTGGGGGGAGCTAGAGCCTCAGGTTCTTCCTCAGGAAACGGACGGTGGCCCGAAGCCATTATGCCGGTCCTTACAGCCTCTGACGCGATTTCCTAGTGTACTCCCCAGGTCTCGATGAACGGTGTCGCTAAGATCAGGACCCTCCTCCTCCTCCTCCCCATCACGGGGAAACTGAGGCTCTGGGCCAGAGGAGGAGACCCGAGGTCTACCTAGTGAGGACAGCCAGCCTATGGAAGGTCCAGCTTTTCTTCTCAGCCCCTCTGTCCCCTGCTCCCTACATCCATAATCCTCCTGCTCACTCCCCTCCCTCCAATATCCATCTCCTCGCCAAGGGTTTCTGAACCTTCCCTTCTATTTTCAGATACTACCACTTCCCCTCTTTCTCTTCTGCTCAAACTCTCCTCCTTCTCCCTGGTTCCCCCTCTTTCCATTTCTGGATGCTTCTGATGTCAGTGGCTTCCCCGCCCTCAGGTTCCCTAGCTACCCCCCACTTCAGTCCCAGCCTCCTTCCTTCCATCTTCCTTGGGTAGCTGAAGGGGCGGGCGGGCGAAAATCCAGGCTTAGTTAAGCCGGGCCGAGACAAAGACCGCAAGGTCTAGGGAAATGGCATGTCAGGGAAGGAAGGGCGCCTGCTTCATTTAATGTGAGCCCCCAGGAAGGAACACATCACATGTCTCCCATTAGGAACTGAAGAAAGATCTGGGGATGCAGAGACCAGGGCTGGGTAGTTCTGAGCACAGGCTATTGCAAGAAGGAACTTTGTAATTCCAAAGCAGGGAGAAAGGGCTAAAAAAGATGGAGACATGGAGACTTTTCCCATGTAGTCAGCAAGTAGAGGAGGTCTTCTTCGTGTGGGTAAGTAGGCATCTGATTTACGGCAGGAGAATGCCCTGAATGACCCCAGGGACTCCCAACAATCAGTCATTTCTCTAGTTCCTAGAGAAAGGGTACATGTGAGCTAGAGGACAGCACAGGCCTAATTTTTGCCCCTCCATCTCCTCTTCCCTCACAGCTTATCTAGGTGACTGAGCTCCGCCCCTTCGTACTGACTGGTCAAGACTCACCGGAGACAGAGGCCTGGAAGTCCCAGCATGGCAATCAGAGGTCTCCAGCCAGCTTCATAGATGGCAAAGCAGCAAGCTTGCCTCCCCCATCAATTACGGGGATAACTGAGAAAAAGCCCCACCCAACATGGAGGCTGAGGACCACCACCTCTACTGATTCTCGGCCTTCTCCCCTGCCCTGCCCTGCCCACGGGGCTTAGCTGAGTCAGTCATGCAATGCTGAACAGTAAGGGAGACGTGGGGTCAGCTTGCCTGGCTGCAGGGCAAGGATTGTGGGCAGCATGGGGGTGTGTGTGAGCGGGGCTCCAGGGTGAGACCTAGCCCCCGCCCCCGGGAGTTCCAGGGGGTGGGGGTGGGGCCGAGGATAGGATGGCTCGGGGTGGGCTGGGGGCAGAAGAGGCCTCCCTCCGGTCAAACGCCTTGTCCTGGCTGGCCTGTGGGCTCCTGGCCCTGCTGGCCAACGCCTGGATCATCCTTAGCATTTCAGCCAAACAGCAGAAGCACAAGCCCCTGGAGCTGCTGCTCTGCTTCCTGGCGGGCACACACATACTCATGGCGGCTGTGCCCCTCACCACCTTTGCTGTGGTGCAGCTCCGGCGCCAGGCTTCCTCCGACTACGACTGGAACGAGAGCATCTGCAAGGTCTTTGTGTCCACCTACTACACGCTGGCCCTGGCCACCTGCTTCACCGTCGCCTCGCTCTCCTACCACCGCATGTGGATGGTGCGCTGGCCTGTCAACTACCGCCTCAGCAACGCCAAGAAGCAGGCGCTGCATGCCGTCATGGGCATCTGGATGGTCAGCTTCATCCTTTCCACGCTGCCCTCCATAGGCTGGCATAACAACGGGGAGCGCTACTATGCCCGAGGCTGCCAGTTCATAGTCTCCAAGATCGGCCTCGGCTTTGGCGTCTGCTTCAGCCTCTTGCTTCTTGGGGGCATTGTCATGGGGTTGGTCTGCGTGGCCATCACTTTCTATCAGACACTGTGGGCCCGGCCCCGGAGGGCTCGGCAGGCCCGCAAAGCTGGGGCCAGTGTGGGAGCCAAAGTGGGGGGGCTGGGGGGCTTGGGTACACGACCAGCTTTCGAGGTGCCGGCCATTGTGGTGGAGGACACTCGAGGCAAGCGGCGGTCCTCGCTGGATGGCTCCGAATCTGCCAAGACATCTTTGCAGGTCACCAACTTGGTCAGCGCTATCGTCTTTCTCTATGACTCCCTCACAGGGGTGCCCATCCTGGTGAGACTGAGGTCCCTCCAACTCTGTCAGCCCCGCAGAAGCTCCACTGTGTCTTCTCACTGTCCTTTCCTCCCGACATCCGTGTTTCCCTGTCTCTATCATCCATCCTCGAGCTCCCGCTACTCAGCCTCCCGGCTCCATCAGCCACTCTTCATTTCTATTCTCCAGCTCCATCTTCCATCCTGCCCCTCCGTTCACGTTCAGCCTGACCCTCAGCTGCCCTTTGGCGCGCAGTCTCTGAGCACTCCTGCGTGGAAACCCTAGGCTCGCCCTACCACGCTAGCCAGGCCCCATTCCCGGGTTTCCCCTAGTCTAACTTTCTTGCAATGTCGATCTCTCCCCTCCTTCTCTTTCTGTCTCTGTCTCTCTGTCTGTCTCTCCCCAACTCCGGGCTTCTGTCTACAGCATTTCCTGACTTTCCTCATTCAATCCCTTCTTACTCACCCCGCCTCCCTTCCTAATCTCTGGCATCAGGAGTGGGTTCCAGGCTTGGGTGGGGCCCTGGGCCCCCCGCGCCTGACCAGTCATTCCCTCTCCCCGCCCCCAGGTGGTGAGCTTCTTCTCCTTGAAGTCAGACTCCGCTCCGCCATGGATGGTGCTGGCCGTGCTGTGGTGCTCCATGGCACAGACCCTGCTCCTGCCCTCCTTCATCTGGTCCTGCGAGCGCTACCGTGCAGATGTGCGCACAGTGTGGGAGCAGTGCGTGGCTATCATGTCGGAGGACGACGGCGACGACGGTCAGAGGAGGGACGGGGACTTGGGTTTCCTGGACAGCTACCGCTAGTGTCTGTCCTTTCCACCGCCCTTCTCCTTGAGGAGATGTGCTGCCCTGGGGTGCCCCCTGCTGGACTGAGCTGGAGCCAACTCCGGGCTCTGCACAGCCTGGTCGTGCACTCAGCCATCCCAGCCCGGCGGCTTCCTTCCGCACTGAGGCCCCTGCTCCTGCCTAGCGGCCTGCACCGCCCAGCTTGGTCTATGCCAAGCAGAGCTCCAGAGAAAGGGTCCTCAGTCCTAATGCAAAGAAGGTCTGACATTAAAGGGAAGCTAAGCTTCCTGAAAGAGGTGCCCTGCTCTTGGGACAATTGGAAAAGAACAAGTCTGTGTGAAGGACCAGGGACTCAGTGACTGTACCAAAGCTAGCCATTCCCTCCTGGACTTACAGGCTAATGGGAACCAAAGGTTCCTCCTGGACCTTGGGAAGGGGGTGGAGAGAGGGTGGGTGGTCTCTGCCTGTAACCACTCTGCTGCTTCTCTCTCCTAGATGGAGCCTGTGACGACTACACTGACGGCCGAGTGTGCAAGATTCGTTTTGATGCTAATGGGGCCACAGGGTCAGGGGGTCGGGACCCCACCCAGGTCAAACTGCTGCCTGGCCGGCACATGCTATTTCCGCCTCTTGAGAGAGTACACTATTTACAGGTATGGGGAGAAGGGTCCCCCTCTCTTCTGGCCCCCTGGCTCTGGACTGCAGGGCACCCGAGGGGGCAAATGAAGGAAAGATGAGGGAAAGAATGGCCCCCTCAGGCCTCTCAGAACCAGGGTTACCTACTAGAGTAAATGCTTTGGAGAAACGGAAGAGAATGACGCCGTTTGCAGAGACCAGACCCCACTCGGCTTTCTGCCGCCTCTGCCTTAGTCTCTGCAGTACCTCCAGGTCTCACCCGCTCCTCTTCCCAGGTCCCCCTGTCCCGCCGATTGTCCCACGATGAGACCAACATCTTCTCCACTCCTCGGGCACCAGGCTCCTTCCTGCACAAATGGTCATCTTCCGATGACATCCGGATCCTCCCAGCCCAGAGCCGAGCCCTTGGGGGCCCTCCCGAATACCTGGGACAGAGACACAGGCTGGAGGATGAGGAGGGTGAGGAAGAGGCCGAAGGCGGGGGCTTAGCCAGCCTTCGCCAGTTCCTAGAAAGTGGGGTTCTGGGGTCAGGTGGGGGACCCCCACGAGGTCCTGGCTTCTTCCGGGAGGAGATCACCACCTTCATCGATGAGACACCTCTGCCTTCTCCAACGGCCTCACCGGGACCCTCTCCTCGTAGGCCCAGGCCACTGGGTTTTTCGCCTCGACGCCTCTCCCTTGGGTCTCCTGATAGCAGAGCTGTTGGACTTCCTTTGGGGCTAAGTGCAGGGAGACGCTGTTCTCTGACCGGGAGCGAGGGGAATTCAAGGGCTTGGGGAAGACCCTGGGGCCCAGGCAACCCCATCTTCCCCCAGCTGACCCTGTGAGGCCACATGGGCCTGCTTAACTCAGAGGAGGGGGCGCGGGTGAGGACTCCTCATTCCGGCCCTGAGCCTATGGCAGCTGCCTCCAGGGAGATGGGCGCTAGATCTGGATTCTAGAGCCCCGGCTCTCTCCCATCCAAGTGACCAGACACCCTACTCACCCATCTTTACCCCTAGCAAAACATATTAAAGGTTGAAGTATTGCCATCGAAACCCTGGTCTCCAGCGTCTGCGGTGGCGGCGAAGGGTATGGTCGGTGGCTTGGGGGAAGGAGAGGGCCTCAGAGGGGACAAGATGGAGAAAGGGCAGGGAAAGAGGTACCGGAAGAACCCGTCCAACATGCAGACAGGCTTGGGGCATATGATGCTGGGGTGGGGCACTGGACACCTGAGTGTGTTAGTTTGAAATGGGAAGGATATTTGTTCAAATAAGTGTAACTGTTCAGTCATCAACTCCACTGAGTGCTCCCGCGTGCTCACTTTCTGGGTGAAAAGTTTTGGGGTCAGAATCGGAGTCCCAAGCCCGGAGGCGCCCTCTGCCACGCTGCTTTCCAAAGATCATTCTCCAGCCCGGTGGGTTGGCAGGAGCGTGGGTAGATAAACGCGTGAGGGGCGTCCACAGTCCTTTTCCAGGACCCCAGGATAGACGGGAACGAAATTACCGCCACACCACAGGCGTCCCAGATCCCCCCCTCTCACCCTCCTTTCTCCATTTCCCTTTCTAACCCACACTAGCCCCACGTATCCTCGGGATTCTCGCTCGGTCCCAGTTTGGTTTTCCCTGCGGCAGGTCTAAGCCCAGCAGGCTTCTTTGGCTTCACTTACTCATCTTTTCCTCTCCTTCTCCTCTCCATCTTTCTTTCCTTCTCCTCCCCTTGCCCCCCCCCCCTTCCTCTTCCTCCCTCCCGGCTCCGCATTTCCCTTCGGAAGTGGGCCTGGTGCTTTGGGCACCATGCTGCGGCTCCTGAGGTTGCTGCTGCTGCTGCTGCTGCTGCCTCCCCCGGGCTCCCCCGAGCCTTCCGAGCCCCCGGGCCTGGTCTCGTTATGGCCGGGGGCGCCTCCCCAGGCTCCCGACTTGCTCTACGCGGACGGGCTGCGAGCCTACTCCGCCGGGGCTTGGGCGTCCGCGGTGGCGCTGCTGCGAGAGGCGCTGCGGAGCCGGACGGCGCTGGGCC